ACAAAGGAGGCTGTTGGACCAAAATACCCGGCCAAAGGAAGAAATACCCGACCGGGTATTTTCTGGCCTTGACCGGGTATTTCTCACTTCGGGAGTCCGTGAGAAGCAGAAGGGGGCCCGGGCGATGGCCTTAAATCCCCGGTCGGGGATTATGAGGATAGACCGGGGATTTTCCCCTTAGTGAAACGGCGAGTTTTGGATAATACCCGGTCGAACCCTGAAATACCCGACCGGGTATTTCGACCGGGTATCGCGATGGCAGCTGATAAAAGAGAAAGAAGGCCAATTTTCAGAGGGTTCCGAGTTTTTGAGAGAGAAAGCGATACCTAGAGAGAGAAAGCGACGAACCAGAGTTCCCAAGCGCCATAGATCGATCTTCAACACCATTGAAGTCCGGTTTGAGCTTGGAGAAGTGCGATTAAACGTCCAGGAGCAGAAATCCATCTTCACAGTATGATTTCCGCGTCTGAATCTGCTTTTGCTTCTTTCTCTATGGAGTAGTTTCCCCCATTCATCTGGGTATGGGGAACCCTAGATTTGTATGCTAGGTCTGATTGTATGAACCCAAGTACAGAGTTTGTGAATTGATTATATTCGATTGAGGTTTGAATGATTGAATGACTTGAATCCTGATCAAATTCCTGTTGTTTCTGCTTTGACCTAGAATGAGAATATCTGCCTAGGTTGATAGAGTACCCTTAATCGAAGGTGGCGAATTGGTGACTTTAGTCGAGGAGCCAATTCGCTATTCTGTACCGAATTCAATTCGGTAGTGGAGGTTTGGCTTGTTAGGGCCTCAATCTGTTTACTCCGGTGGAGGTTAGTCGCCCGCTAGAGACTCAGATTGAGAGGGTCTGTAGACCTTTAGTCGAGCCTTCAGGCTAATTAAGAACCTTCCGCAGTATAACTTTCACGAAAACTGAACTTGGTAAATTGCAATCCGACTTAACTGCAGTCTAGGGGGAACCATATCCGGGTGACCTCTCTTGACTTGACAACAACCGTTTACTTGCTTTGTGTTCTGTTTGCTTGAGTTGCACTAAAAGTTCACCGCTAAATAACAAGAATTCACCGAGTAGTCATCACATCTAGGACCCGGGTTGACAATTAAACCTAAACCCGCTATACTACGCTTTAGGAAGTGGTTGCACTTGGCCATTTTCTAGAGTGACAGTAGGAGTGAGTCAAATACCCTCTCCATTTTCATTAATATCGTGATCATCTACCACTTCTCTTTCTTCAACTGCTCCGATTTTGCTTCTATGTCTTTCAATACCCTCCTTGGTTCAATCACTACCCTGACCAACTGCCTCTTCACTGTCACTTGCTGCAAACTACTTCCATGACTTTTTATACACCTTCCTGAAAATCACAATCAACTAACCAATATCAATCCATGGCCTTGGATCAGTTTTAAACTCTCTATGAACATCTCAATACCACAAAGTCTAAATCTAAATATTCTTTCAGTAAATCATGAACTTGAGTTTATCAAAATCTAATCCACTCCTTCTAAGTTGGAATTCTCATCCCCCAAGCTCATTTTTTTTTGGTTCATTTGCTCCCACATAACCATGATATTATACCTCTAACTAAAATAAATCAAAGCATTTTATGAAAAGAAACCGAACCATGAAATTTACCTGCTACCAAATCCAAACACAATTTCTTCCCCTCACCAATTCCCTTAATCCCTTCCCAAATCCAATATAAACTTTTACTCCAAGTACACACCCCCAACTCCCAGTGTGTTGCGTGAAAGCTTAATTTTAGCAATCATTATGCTTGCAATTAGATTAATGGACACCAGCAATCGCCAAAATTCCACCAGACGATGAGTTGTCTTCACTGTGAGTTTTGTCATAAAACTGCTGGCCCGATATGTTTATCAGTTTGGAGGCTATGTGATGAGCAATACCGACTCAGTTGCAGCGAAGTTACCGGTCACAGTAATGACAATGTGAAACATGTGTTAACAAACGCGAATATGGCTTGCTTTTATGGATTGACATTAGAATGATGGGATTGGATAATGAGATCGTCCTTAGTTAAGCGACATGTAAATTGGTCATTTGGTATGGAGGACACAAACCGTTTATAATTATAAAACATTTGAGTGAGTTTGTATTTTGTGTTTTCAAAATCGTGGTATATGAGTTAGGTGATTAAAATATCTAAACCCAAACGAACCGACCCACACACACCCCTAGGAAGAGTTTCAGAACTTAATATTTAACCGGGACAAAAATGTTCAGAGAAATAGTCCCCTACAGTTTGCACCAAGATATGATTACTTCACTATAGTTCTGGAAATTAATAATAATTTAAGAATTTCATATCGCTTCTACATATTCAATACTATAATTCGATATGAAATATTCGAACCAACAATATTTTGGTTTCAAATTTATGTTTATCAACTATTTATAATATAGATAAAATTTTAAATTAAGTATTAAACTATAATTAAAATAAAAATATCAAAATGGAAGTATCAAAACACCAAATAATTACTTACGAAATATTTATTGGGCTAACTAACTGTTGAAAAGTTTTGTGATTTCATATTTCAGCTTCGTATATATTTTTAATTTACAAAATACAACAAATCTACATAGTTTGATTGATTTTAAACCTTCACTATGTTTGAAGTGACCATGGTTCAAATCTCAATATGTCTATCTTTTTGTGTAATAAATAAAATATACAGATAATTGTGAATACAAAAATATCCTTCCTAATTTCCCTCTCATTGCAGGAAATTTGAAAAGGGAGATTAAGTTTCAAATAATTAAATCATATACCCTAAACCTATAGAACTTAAACCCTAATATCACATATACTAAGAACATAATCAATGATTATGATTCGCCAAGATGTATACAACATACCATATGCACCATATTAGGATTTAGAGAATTATGATATAGGGTTTAGTTACGTGATTAATATATGGTCTAGATAATGTTATTTAACTAAGGAGATGCAATAACCCTCAATCCATCGAGTGTACCATAGAATTCCCAATGTATATACACGTACCATTGTTTGTTAAATTTAGCCAATGATAATTTGCTCATTTGTTAATGGTATTTAGTCTTTCAATTCTATGCTCATAATTCTCAATCATTTGGGAAATTGTTAGCCAATGATTTTTGGTCATTCACTTATAGCATTGAAATTGTCTCGTTTCAAAACCATAGATCACAAATGTCAAATTTTATGTTTTGAAATAAAATTTTGTATAGCACTTTTGTAAACAATCCTAGTATTCCTGCAAACTACAAAGTCATGTAACCTAATAAATGTAAAAGTTGCAAGACATACATAAACTCAAAATATACTATTTGATTCTTGGTGAAAAATTGTGTGATTAGAGGAACTCACTTAGTTGATTCATAAATCTAGGTATATCATGATGATTCACTTTGTAAATAATTACAGTTATTAATTAATTTGATGGTTGATTGTTGCGGTAGATAGTCCTATGATTTTGAGACATTTCAATATTTTCCCTCTTTAATTCAAAAATTACATAAACATTGTTGTTGTCCAGTTGGTTAGCGATATTGACTATTAATTTGAAGGACTCAAGTTCAAGTTTTGGTAATGACATTTTTTTTCTCGTAAGAAGATATTTAAGTTCTAAGTTGAACTTACAAATTTACCCCTAGCTACAATTAAGGAGAGTGTAAGAAATTTGAAATGCTCAAAATCTCCTGAAGAACGACTACATATTATAGAGGGATTGGGTAGATATTACAAATACCAATACAAAACCTCCGGTCTCACTAGTCACCACTATACAAAGATGCCTATAACCCATCGAAAACGAATAAACTCGGCGGAATAACAACGATCAAGACAACCACCATTGGACAACAGGGAGCCATGCCTCTGCTGGATTCGCCAGCCATGGAATCGCCACGCTCTCTTTCCACCTCCGATTTCTGCCGTAATTGATCTTCCCGCTTCACCACCGCTATCCCTCATCGGTGCCGCTTGCTTTCTCCAACATCTGTTCCCACCGGTGGTTGTCTCGAGCCTGGAGTACACGCGTCCTTCTCCTAATTCCCTAGTCGTGCACGTGGCAGTTTGCTTCTTTTCCTTTGCAATCTTATCCTCCTTCCTAATCCTACAGCAGCTTACGTGGAAGTTTGCCACGATACCTTTTACGCGTTCTGATCTTTTGATTCACTATTTTATTAATTTCAATTTTATTAATATATGGTAAAGTTAGGACTAAATCAAATGGGTTGGCACCACCTGGCCACTCTCGTGAGCCTGTTGGCCTAGTTTGGTTTTTTAACTGATTTGCAGGCCACACTATTCACCCAGCTGTTAGAGTGGGCCACTTTAAGGCTTTCATGAAGAACATCGGCCAAGGCTTCTTGTGGTAACAGAGTGGGCCACTTTTTGTTTGTTTGTTCTGCAGGTTTGCAGGTACATCAGCGGCGATTATCGCCGGCATTGCTTATATGGCTTGCATTGCTTATATGGCTTCCGGATGTGGATGTGGACGTACTTTGGGTGGTGCTGCCCGAAATGGATAGTTGTGTTTCTTTTTGCAGGTTTTCGCGTGTTGTGTACCCGTTTGTATCCTTTGTTGCATATTAGGATACTGACAGGGCTGCCCCTTGAGTGGCTAAAAAGGCTCTTTTATCGGCGGATTAATTAGCTATCGACCGCCGTTTTAATTATTTTATTGTTTTACATATTTGTAAGCATACTGCATTGTACACCTATCTATGACAGTACATAACTATCTATGACCAAAAAAAAAAAAAAAACAGGGGAAAAGAACATGTCACGTAAGTTTTACTTGCATTGTTTCCAAACAAACCCTCGGGCTTTCCCTCCATATCCCGTCCTTGCCCTTCTCAACATCTAGCGCCACCATTAATGCCACAATCAAACAGGCTTTCTTTATATATTACATTCTCATCATCCCCAACTAATATTCATACCAGCAAGAAGAGGTTAAAAAAAAAATGGCGTCAATAGCCTCTCTCTCGATACTAATAACTATGATCACAACCATCTTCTTCGCCGCCTGGTTTCTCGTAAGCCACGCCGACGATCGAAGAGGCCGGCTGTGCGTTCCTGCCGGGCAAAGCGGCTATCTCAACTACGCATGGAACGAAACGAGGCTCCCGACGTCGAACGTGCAGGCCGGAGTGCTGATCTACCTCCAGGACAAGCTGCGCGGCCAGATGAAACACGGTTACATGGATGTGTGCGCAATGGGGACATTCGACGACAGCGGCAGCGGCGGCCGGGGTGACGCCCAAGTGGGAACGGAGATCTTCGTCTTCGCGGCTTGCAGGAGCGACCTCGGAGCTGAAGGGTGCCAGAACTGCGTCGGGAACGCCACCGTCATCATACGTGCGAGCTGTCCCGACGCGGTCGGGGCTCAGGGCGCGTCGGCGGATTGTTGTCTTCGGTACGAGACCTACGACTTCTGTTTGTAAGAGAGAATATTGATTAATTTTGGATCATATATCGCTCTCTTACACTATATTTTTTTTATTCTTTCGGTGGAGTCGTCACATTTCCTTCGATAGATTGTGACAGCTTGATCCATTTTCTCGATATTTTACAACTTGATCTGTATATAACATATGGCGAAGAAATAAAATGTCAGTTTGCTATTAGTTTGCTGGCTAGCATGCTTGACGAAAAGGAGGGGTGGTTACTTATTGGAGTTGGGTTGAGTGGATTTTGGCCTCAAGTTGACATACTCGTTGACTAACGATAGTTTAGTAAAATTATGTCTATCATTCACTCACATTTTTGTTAAGTTGGATTGGGTGGATGACGAATGAATGCAGTTGGATTGTGAGTTAGCTCACAAATATGATTCTCCAACAAAGATAAGTTGAATAACATTTACAATAAATATTTAGCAAATTAGGACGGATTATAGCAATTCAGCCACCTCCCGCTTTGTCTCAACTGCATATGATATGAACAGTATTTTGAGCAACGAATATAATATGGTCGTAGAAAACTTCAAAAATTGCGACCACAAAAATGGTCGCTAGAAACATCAGCTTTGAGAACCATTAAAATGGTAGACTAACAACACGTTTTTGACGTCCATTTACTCAGGTGGTTGCCGTTACAGTAGCCGATGCGGTATAGGCTACCACTATGGCGACTCAATAATCTGGTCGTTAAAACTTCAGCTCTGACCATATTTTCAGTTTTTGCGACTCTTTTGTGGTGGCAAGATAGTGTATTTCTTGTAGTGGAAAATTTTCCTATTACTCATACAAACTTTTTAATTGGTCACTGTTAATGAAAAACCCGTTGTCAGATTAAAGAAAGTCAGTTATCACATATCCCTAAAAACCATGGTCCTCATACAAGTGGAGTTCACTTCAGTGCATCACATAGGTTATCAATTAATTCATTAATCCATTAACCAATTATAGAGAAAAATATCACTTAATGTGACTTTGAAACAACTAATTAGTTATAATTTGCATTCAAATATTTAATTGACATCAGTCAAGATAGTAACCAAGTATTAGTATTTCAAAAAAAATTCATGTTACTCATACATATTTTTAATTTGGTCATTGTTAATGAAATACCCGTTGACAGATCAAAGAAATTTTGTTATCACATATTGTTAGGATCTTGAGTTGAATCCAAAACGTATCTGTAACAAGACAAAACGTAAACTGAACACAAGACGATTTACATGGTTTCCGATATTGTGGAGTGCAATATCGACTAGTCCACGGGAGGAAGATGCTATCGTATTCGTTACCTTTTGCGTCTGGTTACAAGGGATTATATACAAACCTAACCCTAGCTGCCGAACTAGGTAATACAAGACTAATGGGCCTACTGCCAATGCAATAATCACACGTCATAGGCCTACATATGATTGGGCTATACTACTATTAACAGCCTCCCTCAAATTGATGTAGATCTCGGAGCATCAATTTGCTAGACAAGTACCAATGACGTGCAGTAGTGAAGGTCTTCGTCAAAAGATCAGCAACCTGTTCGGCAGTAGGTATGTAGTGTAAGCGAACATCCCCATCACGAACCAAATCCCGAATGTAATGTATATGAACTTCAATATGCTTCGTCCTATCATGAAGGAACGGATTAGTAGCAATCTGAATATCACTCGTGTTATCCATGAACAGATCCATGGCCGCCAACCCTATCACACCAAACTCACCCAATAGTCTTCATAACCAGATAAGCTCTGAAGCTACGTCGGACATAGCTCGATACTCAGCTTCAGTGGAACTCTTGGAGACTTTGTCTTGCTTCTTACATCTCCAGGAGATGAAGGAACCCCCATAACGAATACACCACTCTGTAGTAGAACGACGAGTGTCGATGCATCCTGCAAAGTTGGAATCGGAGTAGGCACTGATAGTATCATCCCACCGAGAAGTAAAAAACAATCCCACAGTCTTTGTACCAGAGAGATAACGGAGGACCCAGTGTGCCGCTTGAAGATGAACATCATGCAGAGAGTTCATAAACTGGCTAAGAATATGAACAGCGTAGGAGATATCCGGCCGAGTGTGAGTGAGGTAGTTTAAACTACCCACAAGGCTGCGATATTGCCTCCCATCAAGTAACGGCTCACTACGATCTTTCCCCAACTTGACGTTCAGCTCCATAGGAGTGAGGATTGGCCGACAATCAGGGAACCCTGCAGTATCAAGTAAATCATCGACATATTTGGGTTGACTGAGAAGAATCCCCTGTGGTGAGCGAGTGACTTCCAAACCCAAAAAATAAGAAAGAGATCTGAGCTATATTGTTGGTTCAAATATTTCATATCGAATTATAGTATTGAATATGTATAAGCGATATAGAATTCTTAAATTACCATTAATTTTCAGAACTATAGTGAAGCAATCATATCTTTGTGCAAACTATAGGGGAGTGGTTCTCTGAACATTTTTGTCCGGTTAAATACTGAGTTTTGAAACTCTTTCTAGGGGTGTACGTGGGTCGGTTCGTTTGGGTTTAGATATTTTAATCACCTAACTCATATACCACGATTTTGAAAACACTAAATACAAACTCACCCAAATAATTTAGAATTTTAACGGTTTGTGTCCTTCTATACCAAATGAACCAATTTACATGTCGCTTAACTAAGGACGATGTCATTGTCCAATCCCATCATTCTAATGTCAATCCATAAAAGTAACACATATTCACGTTTGTTAACACATGTTTCACATTGTCATTACTGTGACCGATAACTTCGCTGCAACTGATTCGGTATTGCTCATCATATGGCCTCCAAACTGATAAACATATCGGGCCAGCATTTTTATGACAAAACTCAAAGTGAAGACAACTCATCGTCTAGTGGAATTTTGGCGCTTGCTGGTGTCCATTAATCTGATTGCAAGCATAATGATTGCTAAATAAAGCTTTCAAGCAACACACTGGGAGTTGGGGGTGTGAACTTGGAGTAAAAGTTGATATTGGGTTTGGGAAGGGAAGTGGTGAGAGGAAGAAATTGTGTTTGGATTTGGTAGCAGGTAAAGTTCATGGTTCGGTTTCTTTTCATAAAATGCTTTGATTTATTTTAGTTAGAGGTATAATATCATGGTTATGTGGGATCAAATGAACCAAAAATAAGTTTGGGGGATGACAATTCCAACTTAGAAAGAGTGGATTAGATTTTGATAAACTCAAGTTCATGATTAACTGAAAGAATATTTAGATTTAGACTTTGTGGTATTGAGATGTTCATATAGAGTTTAAAACTGATCCAAGGCCATGGATTGATATTGGTTAGTTGATTGTGATTTTGAGGAAGGTGTATAAAAAGTTATGGAAGTAGTTTGCAGCAAGTGAAGGAAGTGAAGAGGCAGTTGGTCAGGATAGTGATTGAACCAAGGAGGGTATTGAAAGACATAGAAGCAAAATCGGAGCAGTTGAAGAGAAAGAAGTGGTAGATGATCAAGATATTAATGAAAATGAAGAGGGTATTGAAGGGCATGGAAGTGAACTGGATCAGGTGAAGGCAGAGAAGGAGGAGAAAAGCATATTGATGGAATTGAAAATGAGTGTTGGTTTTAAGAGCTTATAAAAACTGTCACGAGGAAGATGAGTTGACCAAATACAAGAAAGAGGATTGAGGAGTTGGAGATCAAGCTGACAAGAAACTCGATTGAAAGAGAAATTCAGGTTCACGGAGAGAAGTTCCATCAAAGTAGCATAATGGAGTTGCAGAAGGAGGATTAGAAATTGAATTTTGGTTTAAAACATATACGTCGAGAGATTGAAGATGGAGGGGATAAAAAGTTGGTTGTACAACGGAGAGTGAAAACTATTGGATCTTTAGGTGTTATGGTTGTTGCAACTACCACAACCTATGTTTATGTTAAAACGAGGAATCATTTATTGATTTACTAAAGTTAAGGTCGATTCACTATTCAAACTACTGGAACCTGTAGATAAGGAGTGTCTAATTTTGTGTCTCGTTACTTTGATCGAGTCTATTAGTACATCGGATGTAGCTCTAATTTTGTCATTTGCTCTCAAGTTTTGATGGTCTCCTTTTAGTTGAGTTGTTAGCATATGATTTACTTGAATCAACAACTCTTCATTTTTGTTTTTTTTTATAAATCAATTTCTTTTTTTATTAGTGGCATGTTATTCATAGAGGAGAGCTTTGAACCATTTATGTGGGATTGTGAGGTTTCATTTCAGTTTCAAACTATCTATGGATCGTGTGGGAATTCCAATGAGCTTTTATATTATATATTTCTGGACAATTTATTAACCAATATCATTTTAATGGGGGCTTAATTATTATTATGAAAATGGAATTAATGATACATTTTTATATTCTTAAATGAGGAGGGTATTTCTCTGAATGTTCGACCTATATATTCATTCTTTATATAGCATCCCGATTAAATGATTTTCACAAAATTTAAACGAACTAATAGACTTAAACATAACATTAAAATATAAATATTAAAATATGAACATTCCGACCAGCTGACCGAATTATAAGCTAGTTAGGAGAATATAATAATTCAGTCACCTCACGCTTTGTCTCTCATTGATATAACCAGTTCAAGTGGTGTGCAAAGTTTTCACTTACTCATCATTTTTCTTATTTTTTTCAATTGGTCACTCTCAATGAAATAGTGGTTGTCAGAGAGAGAAAAGTCGCTTGCCACATATCCTAGAGGTAAAGACTAGTCACGCATGTGGTTTTACTTCTTTGGCAAAAGGAAGGATGCGTTTTACAAGGAAATAAAAAAGAATGATTAGAAGCCAGAATCAATATTGATACCATGAGAAAACTAGGAACCTTGAGAAATGAGTTGACGCATTTTGTAGCTTATTATTGTCAAAGCCGAAAATGGACAATGCATGTAGGAAACATAATTTGTATGTAACAGCATTTCTAATGTGATTATACATTTATCTGTCTGTTGCATGTATAGTATTATTCAATATTTCAGTATATATCAATTAGAATAAGGAATAACATCCAAAAATCTAATTTAATAAAGCTATTCAACATTAGATAGTCAGTGCTAGAATCAAAGCATACCAAGGTGAGTCCCAAGACCCAACTTGGATCGGGAGAAAATAATTAAGTGTCTAGATTTTTTTTATCTAAACCTAGTCAAAATTTCTACCAACAAACAATAATTAAATAATAAATATAGTTGTCATCCTTATATATAATACATTCTAGTTTCTACATAAATAATATGAGAACAAAATACAACTTTATTCTTCAGCTTATAAATTTTTAATTTATTCATCATCTATCACCAAAACCTCCTCTTGTTGAAACTCGTTTTTTTTTCCTAATACTGAGTTTTTCATAAAATAATTTTTCGGTTTGAACTTTAACTAGATTATTTAGTATTTTTAGAATTGATGAGTATTTTAGAATCATGATCATTGAAAGAAGTAACTTCGCGTAGTTGCTACCTAAATCTGCACTGCAGTCTGCAAGTGTTAAAAGGACACCAGCAATGAGCGACATGAAAAAGCACTCTCTGAAATTTAATGAGAGAAAAAAAATCATAAATGATTATTTGTTATGATATTCTAAGATTGATATCATATGAAATGCATCTTAAAAGCTTTTCAAAATATGAGAACATATTGTAAGACACAGCTAATGGTTAAAATTATGCTTACTATATTTAAAAAAAGATTTGGACACACTTTACACAAAATTCAAGCTACGCCACTGTCATTCTGCCAATAACATTATAGTCCCGACAAATCGAATACGCTATCCGGGTGTATTACAAATACCAATGCCAAACTTCTAGTTCCACTCGTCACTACTATACAAAGTGCCTATAACCCATCGAAAACGAATAAACTCGGCAGAATAACAACGATCAAAAGACATCCACCAGTGAACAAAAGGGGAAAGAAGAAAATGTCACGTAAGTCTTACTTGCATTGTTTACAAACAGAAAACCCTCGGGCTTTCCCTCCATATCCCGTCCTTTCCCTTCTCAACGTCTATCGCCATGGTGCCACGGCCGTGCAGCCTCTACATATATAAATAAACCCAACCCCATGCACATTGTTCACATCAGAAAGAAAGAAGAAGTAAAAATGGCGTCAATATCAATTCTGGTGCGACTTGATCTCATGCTAACGACCATGACCATCCTCTTTGCCACCAGCTACGCTGATCCGAAAGATCAAGTGTGCGTTGCTGGTGGGCAGAACGGCCTTTACAACTTTGCTTGCAGCAACCAAACGCTACCGCCGTCGCCCAACCTGCAAGCTGACGTGCTGACCTACGCCGAGGATAAGCTGGCCGAGGCGCTTCAATCGTCTTCCTTCGACGCCTGCGAAGAGAGCAGGACTTACCGCATCGGTAACGGCCAAGAGGGGACCGCATTCTTCATGTACGCGGGTTGCGCACACGATGGCCTCGACGATCTTCAGTGCATGGAGTGCGCGCGGAATGCGAGCCACGTCATTCGCGGCTACTGTCTGGACTCGGCCTGGGCTCAGGCCGCGTCGGAGTCATGTTGTGTCCGGTATCAGATGTCCAAGTTCTGCTGAAACGTCGGAAACGTTGTCATAACATGGTATCAGAGCCTCTTTATCCGAATCCATAATAACCAGATCAACCCTTGTCTGATCATTTAGAATTCGTTTGGAGGATGGTACAAAATCTATTTGCACAACTTGACATTACAATGCTCCCAAGAGTCCATCTTCACTCACTCTCTCTGGCTTTCTCACCGCAGCTAAATGTAGCAGACGAAGCTCCTCGTCTGTTTAAAACGAACAACAACCAACCTGGTAAAAGAATGGTTCAGACGAAAGCAACATGTAAAATGACCTAAAGAAACAACTGATCAGCCCTCTTCCATTCCAAAACTTCTGATCATCTACGTATAAGAAGTTGAAAAATGAGCAAAGAGGTGTCGAGTTGAGCTAGAGTCATACCCAATCTGAGAACAGCTATTAAGGAAACATGCCCAGAAGCCTCTTCCTCAATATTACTCGCTGGGCAATTTGCCCAGAACAGTTTGGACAATGTAGACAAGCTGTAAACCAAAACCCAGCACAAAGAAGTGATCAAAGAAGTTCTTTTAGCACTATTTGCATATGATAAGAAACGATTAATAAAAATGTGATGATGAATGTGCTGCAGCAGCGTTTCAGGCAAAATGATACCTGAATCCACGGAGGTTACCGGGACGCCCAAACTGATGAGATCTACACCCTCGTCCTCTCTGCATCTTTCTGTTGTCAACTGCGGACATCCCCGAATGTTTGATGTTTGTAAGGAGGGGAGGTGTTTCACCGCTTGAGGCAAAGATGCTAGCCTCGGACATTCAGAAATAAGAAGCTCCTGAAGGGAAGTGAGGATGCGCATGCCTTCTTCTGGCAGAGATTCCAAGTCATCAATCCCTTCGAGTCTCAAATGTGTCAACTTGGAGAGTGGAGGCCAAGTATAAAAAGAGGACATACGTTCCTCTGTATCGGGGGCTATCTTCTTTATCATTGTCCGGACCAATGCTTGTGAGCTGGTTCTCTGCAGGAACAATTTTTGTTCAATGGTTGGGAAGAGAGGCATGCAAGTCAGGTTTGGGCAGTTGAGTATTTCCAAGTGAGAAAGACATGGGAAACATGGCCACTCCTCTTCCGCGTTCTCTATATTAATGCCCATTAGATTCGGACAATTCAGAATGTGGAGCTTCTTTAGAGATGGGATTTTATGCAATGATGGAAGATACTCACAACTCCAGCAACCTGCTAATGATATCTCCACCAGATTCGTGATGGACAACCAGTTGGGAAGCTTTAAGCCTCCGTAATGGTGTATCTCCAACTTTTTTAGATTAGGGTGTGGGCAGAGCTTTTCCAGGATCTCTTCATCTTTATTAGTAGAAGAAGAGTAGCAACTGTAATGCAGTTCATTCCATTTCAAAACCAAAGACTTAAGACATAACTGCTTCTTCAAGACATAAATACCCACAGGCACAGCATTAGTCAAGCTTTCAATGGTGAGCTCCCCCCGTAAAGCAATTAACCCGTTCAACTCATCCAGCCCCCCAACATCTCCACTGGTCCTAGTGCCAACCACAAACTTTTTTAACGTCTGAAGGGACGCTAATTCCCCAATCCCCTTAGGCATATGAGTCAACTTCACAGAAGGATCAAGGTACAAATGCTTCAAATTAACTAGCTTTCTGATATCCCTAGGTAATTCTGTGAGGTGACTACATAATGAGAGGTCAAGCACTTGCATTGTAAGAAGGTTAGTAACAGAATCGGGAAGCTTTGTCATTTGTTGGCAGGAGAAACCAAGAAATCTTAAATGCTTCAACTCACCAATACAATCGAACAGTTCAGAATCTTGTCTGTTATGACCACGGAGGAGCCACGAGTCTTCTTCCAGCTTCAACAGACTCCGCCAATACAGCAAATCTCTTTCTAATGATATTACCAACACCCGCAAAAATCTGAAGTAGCGGATGACGAGGCTAAATCATGAACCAAATCGTGTATCTTGCAAGTTTCTATATTGCCCAACTTATCCATCTTCACCTCCTGGAAAAACGACCTCCACCATAACATTTTGAAACAATGCAAACCCATTTCTTCTGAACCTTCATCTCCCGATTTGATATATCCTTGTGCTATCCAAAGTTGTACTAAAGGTTGAACATACAGTTTACAGCCCTTTGGAAACAACTTGCAATAAGTAAAGCAACGTTTCAGATGAGAAGGAAGATGATTGAAACTTAGTCGGAGGGTTGACATGGTAAGATTCTTTTCTTCAGAAATGCTCGTCAAATCATTCTCTGAAAACAATGACCATTCAGTCTCCGGATCTTTGGAACGTAATAGACCAGCTATTGTACTTACAGCAAGGGGCACTCCACAACATTTCCTTAGTATCTCTTTCCCAGTTCTTTCTACATTCGGGTTTTGAGGCACTTTTCCATGAAGGGCCTTTTCCACCATCAAACTCCATGATTCATCAAGTGACAAACCTTCCAGGAAATAGGGGGACTCCATCATACTACTTCTTGTTCCCAGTTTCAAAATTCTGCTACTGATCTCAGCCACTTCTTTTGACCGAGTGGTCACCAACACTCTGCTCCCAGAGCCACCAACCTTCAAATATTTTCCTAAAGCTTCCCAACTTTCAACGTTTTCCTCCCAAACATCATCCAAAACAAACAGGAACCTTCTCCCACTAATTTCCTCTTGGATCTTATCTTTTACAACATCCAATGCAAGATCTGGTTGGCTTTCACGACTGATGGATTGCAATAACATCCAATGCAAGATCTGGTTGATCTCATTTTGTAGAGCACAACGAACTCGTTACATCTGTGCAAAAAAGAATTGAAATCTGAGTTAGAACGAAGAAGATAAGAGCCAATTAAGAAAACTAAGGAAAATAAAATGTCTTTAATTGACAACTCTTAGATATGAATTTTTTGGACCCACTTAAATCTAAAGGTCCAGATTTAGTTACTCATAGGTTAGTAACCATTGGTTACTGACCCTATCCTAAACCCTTTAATTTGAAAGTGGTTATGGTATTTTTCAAACAAAAATGCGGCGTGGTGGAGAGAGCTAGAACTGGCAAATTACAACTCGACCGGTTGACCCCATCCGAAATCGCCCAAAAAATAGAAATTTTTATGACCCAAAATCTGAATGACCAGAACTCGATAACCTGTGATTGTTTGGGTCGGGTTGGGTAGGTTAGCGGGTCGACCCGTTAGACTCATTCTATTTTATATATCTCTCAAAATGATAAAATCACTCATAAAATTGGTGAGATGTTTAAAAAAAGTGACAAGGATTTGAATGACTTGTTTGAGAATATGTTAATTGACATGAGTTAGGTAAACTATTGTCATGCATATGTGAAAATTTGTGTTCCTTAAGAAAATATTGAACATGTTTGACATTGTTTCTGAGAGCGCTCATAACCCAAAATTACCTGTAACCCGACCTGAAACCAAATGTGTTGGGTCAATATTTGACCCGAAATCAGCCAACCAAACATGACCAGACCCGTAACCGGAGTCCCCAACCCGAAATTATCCAACCCGACCCGATTGCCAGGTTTAGAAAGAGCTGATCGATTTGAAGTTCCCTAATCAGAATTCCGAGTGGATGACAGGGGAGTTTAGAGGAAATAGAGGATGTAGTCCGTGGTTGATTATCTCAAAGATGGTTTTCCTAGGGTTGTTGCGACTTCCCCAATAGTCGGATCAATAAAAAATAGTCATAATAGAATGAGTAATTGAGTCTAACAAGTTGAAAAATCACGTTTAACTAGTTGTAAAAAGTCAAAATAGAAAAAATATGAATACATATTGTGGGATCTCCTACCATAACTTGGGTATAATTTGAAGTTAGGTAACTTGTATAGATCTAAGCCGTTAAAATTGACCAAATTTATTTTCAACCATTGATTAAATAAATAAAAAAATAACTAAAAAAATAAATGGCAACATGGGTTGCCGGTCACCCATTCCAAGTTACCTTTTTCTATTTTTTTCTTTCCTTTTTCATATTTAGTTGTCTTTCCATATTTTAACATTTCCTTTTTTTAATTCTTATTGAATTAGAAGCGTTACGTAAGTCTTCCGTAATAACTTAGCTCTTTACGTAACACGACGTTGATACTCATTACGTAAAGAAATCTTCTATTGCGTAAGGCTTCCGTAATGATATTTTACAACTGGTACGTAAAATACATATTCACTACGTAAAGGTTACGGAATTATAGTTATTTCTTACGTAACAGTTAAATCCGAAACGTTACGTAAGGCTTTCGTAATGACTTAGCACTTTACGTAACGCAATGTTAATATTCATTACGTAAAAAGACCTTCCATTACGTAAAGGTTACGGAACGACAATTATTTCTTACGTAACAGTTAAATCAGTAGCGTTACGTAAGGCTTCCGTAATGACTTAGCATTTTACGTAACACGAGGTTAATACTCATTACGTAAAGACACATTCTATTACGTAAGGCTTCCGTAATGATCTTTTACAACTGTTACGTAAGATTATCATATGTTACGTAACCATTACGTAATGCCTATTGTATTTTACGTAATACGACCTGTAAAACCTGCTATAGCAGGTAAAAAAATTTAAGTTACCTTACTTCAAGTTACCGTAGAAAATCTCTACATATTGTAAGAAATTGAAATAAAAATATGAATATCTTTTAAAAAAAATTGTTACCGACTATCTAAAAACGAATAAACTCGGTTTAACATCGACGATCAAGACAACACTAACAAAACAACAATAGAAAGAAGAACAAGTCACGTAAGTCTTACCTATATTTGCAGACAACCAAACCCTAAGGCTTTATTCCTAAATGTGTATACCCATTCCCCATGCAAAGATACATACATTTGCCAAGCACAATATTAATATCACCAGAAGAAAGAAGAAAGAAGAAATGGCGTCATCAACAGCATTTCTGGTGCGATCTCTTGTGATAATTATTACGATTCCTTGCCTTCTTTTATGATGTAAATAAGTTTAGGGGTTGTAATGTAATTTGCCAATTCTCATGTTAATTGTTGTGCGAGGATGGCAGTACTTAAGGAAGGGTTTAGGCTTGGTCAAACCCTAACTCTAAGAAATCATCATCAATACGAAAATCCTGAGAACGCAAGTTCTTCGTGGAGTAGTTTCGATCAAATCGAACGAGAAAACCACGTAAAATCGTTGTCTCGTATTCTTCGTTTTATCGTTTTCTACATAGTATCAGAGATGTGTAGAAATCCATAACCGTTTTCTTCCTCTTTCGAAGATGTGTGACACCGAAGCTGAAAAAGAGCTCGGCTTCGAACAAAGTAATTGGCGTAGTTTGACAGTCAGTCACCAATCTCGAAATTGAAATATAAAATGAGCGACGGTAAGATGCAATTAAAACTTTTTGATGACAAACGTTAAACAAAATGGTAAACTCTCTGTGACTAAACGTGGGATTTAGCCATTGTTTTGTGATATAAAAAAAGTGAGCGAGATGCATGCAACACCTCGTCCGACGAGATATATACCTAACGATCCAGACAAACCCTAGTGAACAACAAAAGTGTAAACTGTAAAGAAGAACCATGCACGTAAGTCTTACCTATTATTTCCCGTCCCACCCTTCTCAACATCTAGCGCCACCATTAATGCCCCGATTTAGTGGTGAAGGCAGGATTTAAAACTACTCCGATCCTGTACTTTTTCAAAATATAAATATATAATTAATATAATTAAAATCAATAATATTCACATAATTCATCTATAGATAAAGAAATAATCGGCTAATACAATTGATATATGCATAAACAACCATGATGAATTTTTATATTCTCAAAGCGATGCAAAATACATTCGTTGTCAATACTCTTAAGTAAGTCTCTTTCAATGTATCATATTACAGCTGCGACTGGTAGAATCAAAACTAGTTTCAGAAGCAAATAAACTTACGGACATTACTTACGTACTTTTGTCCCCATCATTATTTGAGATAATTCATCAATTTCTTTCAATTCGTGAAATCTCGTAACATCATGATAATACCCAACAAGCTATTGTCGAATAATTATTATGAATGGAGCAAATAAATTAATTATTATCTTTATCAATTATTAAAGAAGTAATGAGCAGTGATGTAGTGGGCAAAATATCCTTATATTACTTGTTGGTATTGGGTACATATATATGTAAGGTAATTTTTTACCAACCAAATATTATCGTTGTCCTGGGACAAGGACAATATAGGCTGGCTAAGCTTTTCTTTATATATTACATTCCCCACCAACTAATACTCAAATATTTAGGACAGTAACTCTCAAAAATATAATGGCGTCAATTGCCTCTCTCTCGAGACTAACTAAGATCACCACCATTATCTTCTTCACCACTGGGTTTCTTGTAAGCCACGCCGACGATCGAAGGGGCCGGCTGTGCGTTCCTGCCGGGCAAAGCGGCTATCTCAACTACGCATGGAACGAAACGAGGCTCCCGACGTCGAACGTGCAGGCCGGAGTGCTGCTCTACCTCCAGGACAAGCTGCGCGGCCAGATGAAACACGGTTACATGGATGTGTGCGCAATGGGGACATTCGACGACAGCGGCAGCGGCGGCCGGGGTGACGCCCAAGTGGGGACGGAGATCTTCGTCTTCGCGGCTTGCAGGAGCGACCTCGGAGCTGAAGGGTGCCAGAACTGCGTCGGGAACGCCACCGTCATCATACGTGCGAGCTGCCCCGACGCGGTCGGGGCTCAGTGCGCGTCGGTGGATTGTTGTCTTCGGTACGAGACCTACGACTTCTGTTTGTGAGAGAGAAGTTAACTATGGATAATATATCGCTCTCTTACACTATTTTTTTTTTTCTTTCGGTGGAGTTGTCACATTTCCTTCGATAGATTGTGACAGTCTGATCCATTTTCTTGATATTTTACAACTTGATCTGTATATAACAGATGGCGAAGAAATAAAATGTCAGTTTGGCTAGCATGCTTGACGAAAAGGAGGGGTGGTTATTGGAATTGGGTTGAATGGATTTTGGCCCAAAGTTGACATACTTGTTGACTAACGAGTTTAGTAAAATTATGTCTACCATTCACTCACATTTTTGTCAAGTTAGATTGGGTGGATGACAGATGAATGTAGTTGGATTGCGAGTTAGCTCACAAAAATGATTCTCCAACAAGTCGAAAGATAAGTTGAATAACATTTACGATAAATATTTAGCAAATTAGGACCGGATTATAGCAATTCAGGCACCTCCCGCTTTCTCTCAACTGCATATGATATGAAGTGTATTTTGAGCGACGAATATAATATGGTCGTAGTAAACTTCAAAAATTGCGACCACAAAAATGGTCGCTAGAAACCATGTAAATCGTCTAGTGTGGTTTCCGATATTGTGGAGTGCAATATCGACTAGTCCACGGGAGGAAGATGCTATCGTATTCGTTACCTTTTGCGTCTGGTTACAAGGGATTATATACAAACCTAACCCTAGCTGCCGAACTAGGTAATACAAGACTAATGGGCCTATTGCCAATGCAACAATAATCACACGTCATAGGCCTACATATGATTGAATAATACTACTCTTAACAACCTCTCTCAAATTGATGCAGATCTCGAAGCATCAATTTGCTAAACAAGTACCAATGACGTGCAGTAGTGAAGGTCTTCGTCAAAAGATCAGCAACCTGTTTGGCAGTAGGTATGTAGTGTAAGCGAACGTCCCCATCATGAACCAAATCCCGAATGTAATGTATATG